ATAGATATGTCAGAACTGTTTGAGCTCCTTAAATTATACCCTTTTCTGATTTTAGGTTGTGCTTTACTTTGATCCTCTGCCTCTTTAGCAGAACCTGGAAGAATGTCTTTACTAGGATTATCCTGTATAATATCTGGGGTTCTAGGCATAATTGTAGCTTTGATATTGGTGTCAGTCTCCTCTCCAAACCCTGATGATCTTAGCCTCTTTTGGATAGAGTGATCCAGATTATTAAGCAAATTTCTCTTTTGAGTCTGTTTTATATCTGATGCTGCTTCCCCTTTAGTCGCAGTATCTTCCTTGAATATAAAGGGTAGGCTTTCAGTATTATCCTCTTTAGCTTTTCCTTTATCCTCTGCTATAGTGTTAGAGCTTGGTTCTATAGGCTCTATTATAGTATTGAAGGTAATTCCGTCCTTTTTAATACTTGATCTTGTTACTATGTTAGGCTTAGTACTAGTACTAGCTGTAGGTAGCTGCTCTTCTAGCTTGGATGACTTCTCTGCTGTCCTTATAGTGGAATTTGCTCCCAAAATATTATAATCTTGAGCTTCTTGTGACCATGCCTTTTCTGGTTCCTTACTTATATCTGAGGCTGCTTCACCTTTGGTTGCAGTATCTTCCTTGAATATAAAGGGTAGGCTTTCAGCATTATCCTGTTTAGCTTTTCCTTTATCTTCTGCTGTGGTGTTAGAGCTTAGCTGTGTAGGCTCTATTATAGTATTGCAGGTAATTCCACCCTTTTTAATACTCGACCTTGTTACTACGTTAGGCTTAGTACTAGTACTAGCTGTAGGTAGCTGCTCTTCTAGCTTGGGTGGCTTCTCTGCTGTCCTTGTGGTGGAATTTGCTCCTTTAATATTATATTCTTGAGCTTCTTGTGACCATGCCTTTTCCAGTTCCTTAATTACATCAGCTCTAGTTTGCATCCCCTTGGCAGCTTCTTGTTTATTGGTTTCCGGCTCCTCTGGTCCACTGGTATTAGGATAACTGATCACTTCTGGCTCCTTTAGTCTTTTTGAATTAGGATAACTGATCTCTGTATCTCCTGCTGTTTCAGATGCTATATCACAATCTACGTTATCCTCAGCCTCATATGCGCCTTTGTAGCGAACATATGCGTTAGTAATTTCTGCTCTTTTTGCTTCGTTATATGACTTAGCTTCCGCTTTTATGCTTTTCTGCATAATATCTGTGTCATTTTTGCTCTTGTATCCCTCTGACCTACCTGAAACTGGGTCTTTATCATCGCTGCCATCCTCTTTGCTTTCGAGAACTTTATATACATTCACTTTGCTGCGACGATCTTCTGCATCATGTAGAGTTTCGTGTTCGATTTGAGGTTCGTCTTTGGTATCAATCTCGCTATCTGTAACACATCCATCATTATATTCACGCATTTTTTTGTTGTATGCGTGATCCTTCAACATGTCCTTGCTTCCTGTTAATTTTTTGGTCACGGAATTAACGTTCATGTGACTCACCTCTCTATGGATCGCTTTTTTGTGACGCGAGGTTTCTTTGTTCTGTGTCTTAAAGAGAGTTTGCTTCGTGTGTATTTGATATCTCTTACAGCTCGTTGCCATTTGTGTATCATCCTGCGACTCTGATGTGCGTTGCGGCTCTTGTGGTAATAAATTTGCAAATGCAATGGTGGCTGAGGGTTGCCATCTTTTGTCCACAGTGCTTGGGTGTTTCGACTGAGGTTCATTTTGATCCGTAGACGACTGACTTACTTTATGCAGTCGCCTTAATGCAGCTGTTTAGTTCCTCAACCGTGCTAACCAAAGGGACAGACTTACTCATTTAAGTTGTTTTGAATTTTTGGCTCAGACCTTGCTTCTTGGGACCTATTTTCGTCTTCGTCGTCTTCGTCGTCTTCGTCGTCGTTGTCGTCGTCGTCGTCGTCGTCGTCGTTCTTCAATCTTACTCTGTATAAAGCTCCTTTTCGAAGTTTTACGGTCCTTTTCGTGTTACGCTCATTCGAACGCTGACTTCTTTCCGGCATTTTAGAAAAGTAATGACTATCTAGTTTATGTTCAGATATCATTTCTTCATTTTCGCTCTCAGTATTTTCAGAGTCAGGATTACTGCTGTCATCTTCCCTTTCAAACATGATATCACTGCTCTCTTTTTTTCTTCTTGATTCTTCCCTTAGAATCTGATCTAAAGTCTTACTGGCGTTTCGGTCTCTGATTCGCTTATATTTCACATTTGATGACATAGGACTGGATTCTTCTTCCTTAGTTGTATTTTCATTGCCATCATCAGTCTCGCTGTCATCTTCCGTAGCTTCATTTTCGGTTTCGATATCTGATTCGTTTTCTGTACTCTCAGGTATAATCTTGATATCGTTTTCCTCCTCTATACTCTTTGGTTTTGTATGTGTTCTTTGATACATGAACTGCGAGCCGATGTCATTTCCATCAGATGTACTCTTAATATCCCCTCTCTTTCTCGCTCCTAACATCTCGTTCTGATTTTTTTCGTCTTTTGATTCAATTATTGGTACTCGGATCCTTGATGGCTGTGTGGTTGACTGCATCAACGGAAAAGTCGGCCACAATATGAAATAAGGACAAAACCAAACCGACCCGACGCTCTTAGCCTTTCCACGGAATTTAACGCAACATAGAGGTTTATTTAGAGATTTGTTGATATAGCCAATGTCGGGTTGAATAAGATTGGAAATAATACACCATTCGATCGGTTGTTCTTCATCATGTTTCTGCAGCCACACAACCAAGTGGTGTACAATGGGCAAAACTTGTTTTTGATCTATGTCTGCACCTCCACAATCAAGTAGAAGGCCATTGATTCTTGCACGTGAAACTATTCCAAGAATCGAAGCTAAGGATTGCACTTGGATTTTTTGTTTTGTTGTCTTTCTTATGCACAGCCGTAACCCGTCAGTAGAATTGGTGGATTTGCCGTCGAACCGTTTTCTCACTCCTTCAACTGCGTTATGGGATAGAGAGAAAGTGTCCAGAGTAATTATTTGCCTTTTGAGATTCAAACCCAGCGCTTTTTGCAAACTCGTTCTCTGCCCTTCTTGACCCAGTCTGTTGTATAACATATCCAAGACTTTCGGTTCACGCTTTGGATCGGCGAAACATCCAGCACACAGTTTACCACCTGGTAAGCTGACCTTCTCGGGAAAATAGCCTGTCCACAACTGATCTATCCACCTGAAACATATAGCACAGACAAAGAAATGCCAACATCCATAACACTTTGTAGGATTCTCTGGGATATGGTCTTGACAGAAGAAATGCTTGCACACCCCTGGAAGGTGATACTTACCCTCTTTCCCACATTGGCAACACCAGGATGACATATTGTCTAAGATATACGTACGAACTTGGTCAATAGCTGCCGAAAATTCCTAGAGTAATGGTGCCAAATATTAGACCTTCGTCTGGTGCGTAACAGAAATAAGAACACAAGGGTCGTTTCTAAGAACATGTTTAATATAATTAAGACTATAACGAAAGCTATATTTAGAAAAATATCACGTTCTTTTGGAATATGATTCCTTCCCGACGTGTTTAATATACATCTTTAAATATACCGTTCCTATTTATATCTTAAGCATTTATTGCCACGGAACGACTAGTATTTTGTTAGGAATACTGTTACTGTCGCAGGTCACGTGCACCTGACTAATCCAGCGCCTTATTTAGCCATCGCTTGAGCGAGATCACTTAAGAAGATACAACCACAACCACAACCACAACCAAAAACCACAACCCACAATGATCTCTCACATTGCAGATAGTCAATAAAAGGACCACCTCCTATCCTCTCAATTATCTAGTTTTCCATCCATCTATCATCTTCTGTAGCTCGTTAATACGCCGCGCACAGCAGTCCTCAGCACTGCCTAGCATCGATTGATTGATTGA